TGGTTTTCTTTTGAATAAGGCTGGGTTTAGTCAAACTTTAGGGGCAGATTTGTACACCATCACTAAGAATGGTATTTTTGTTGGAAAAGGGTACGCCACTGATGGCATGTTTAAGTTGAATGTTGATTTGAATAAAACTTCTCCTTCTGTTTACTTTTTGTGTGATTTTAATATTTGGCATGGTAGACTTTGTCACGTTAATAAACGAATCATTTCTAATGCAAGCAACATAGGCCTAATCCCTAAACTAAATATTAATGATTCCAATAAATGTGAATTTTGCAGTCAAGCTAAAATAACAAAGACTTCACATAAATCAATAATAAAAGAATCTGATCCCCTAGATCTTATACACTCTGATATATGTGAATTAGATGGAAGTTTAACTAGAAATAATAAACGTTATTTTATCACTTTTATTGACGATTGCTCTGATTATACTTATGTATATCTAATGAAGAATAAAAGTGAAGCGCTTGACATGTTTAAGGTGTATGTAACTGAAATTGAGAATCAATTTAACAAGAAGATTAAGAGACTTCGCAGTGATAGGGGAACCGAATATGACTCTAGCTTGTTTAATGATTTTTATGCTGAACATGGTATTATACATGAAACGACTGCTCCATACTCTCCTGAAATGAATGGTAAAGCAGAAAGAAAGAATAGGACTCTTACTGAACTTGTAGTTGCAATCATGTTAAATTCTGGTGCTGCACCTCACTGGTGGGGGGAAATTTTATTGACTGTTTGCTATGTCCTGAATAAAGTTCCCAAGTCGAAAAGTAAGATCTCACCTTATGAGATATTAAAGAAAAGACAACCAAATTTGTCTTATTTGAGAACTTGGGGCTGCCTGGCTTATGTCAGAATTCCGGATCCGAAACGAGTTAAACTCGCTAGTAGAGCCTATGAATGCGTATTCATTGGGTATGCAGCAAACAGTAAGGCATACAGGTTTTATGACCTAAATGCCAGAGTAATCATAGAATCAAACGATGTTGAATTCTTTGAAGACAAATTTCCCTTCAAATCGAGAAATAGTGGGGGCACACAATCGAGTCACATTCCTGTGATAAAAAGCACTGAAAGCAGCGACAATGTAGAAACAGAGCTTCGAAGAAGTAAAAGAGCAAGAGTTGCTAAAGACTATGGGCCCGATTATGCGGCCTATAATGTAGAAGAAGATCCAATAAATCTTCAAGAAGCACTGTCATCTATGGATGCAGACTTATGGCAAGAAGCCATTAATGATGAGATAGATTCTCTAGAATCTAACAAGACCTGGCGCTTAGTAAACTTACCTCCGGGTTGCAAACCAATTGGTTGTAAATGGGTTTTGAAAAAGAAACTAAAACCTGATGGAACGATTGAGAAATACAAGGCACGCCTTGTAGCCAAGGGTTTTAGACAAAGAGAAAATATAGATTTCTTCGACACCTTTTCTCCAGTCACTAGAATTACATCCATTAGGGTACTCATTTCAATAGCAGCCATTTATAACTTAATAGTACACCAAATGGATGTTAAAACAGCTTTTTTAAACCGTGACTTAGAAGAAGAAATCTATATGGAACAACCAGAAGGATTTGTAATCCAAGGACAAGAAAGCAAGGTCTGTAAGTTAGATAAGTCTCTGTATGGACTAAAACAAGCCCCTAAACAATGGCATGAAAAGTTTGATAACTTAATGATAATTAATGGGTACAAAGTGAATGAAAGTGACAAGTGCGTCTATTACAAATCTGAGAATCGCATTTGTACTATCATATGTCTATATGTAGACGATCTACTTATATTTGGATCAAACATTCAGGCCATTAATGATATGAAATCATTGTTATGCAATAACTTTGATATGAAAGACCTCGGAGAAGCAAGCGTGATCCTGGGTATCAAGATCACGAGATCCGAACAAGGAATTTCTTTGGATCAATCTCACTATGTGGAGAAGATCTTAAAGAAATATAAATACTTTGATTGTAAACCTGCATGCACTCCGTATGATCCAAGTGTGAAACTATTTAAGAACACTGGAGAGAGTGTCAAACAAGCAGAATATGCGAGCATCATTGGCAGTCTTAGGTATGCCACTGATTGTACTAGACCCGACATTGCATATGTCGTAGGACTGTTGTGCAGATTTACAAGTAGGCCGAGTAATGAACATTGGCAAGCTATTGAGCGGGTAATGAGGTACCTTAAAAGGACTATGGACCTCGGCCTACACTATCAGAAATTTCCTGCTGTACTAGAAGGGTATAGTGATGCAGATTGGAACACCTTATCGGATGATTCCAAAGCTACTAGTGGTTATATATTTAGTATAGCCGGAGGAGCTGTATCTTGGAAATCAAAGAAACAGACCATTCTGGCACAGTCCACAATGGAGTCTGAGATGATAGCATTAGCTACAGCTAGTGAAGAAGCAAGTTGGTTAAGATGCTTGCTAGCTGAGATTCCTTTATGGGAAAAACCTATACCAGCTGTGTTGATCCACTGCGATAGTACCGCGGCTATTGCAAAAGTTGAGAACCGTTATTATAATGGTAAAAGACGTCAAATTAGAAGAAAACATAGCACTGTTAGAGACTGTATCTCTAAAGGAGCTGTGAGAGTGGATCATGTACGCACTGATGAGAACTTAGCAGATCCTTTGACGAAAGGATTAGCTAGAGAGAAAGTCCATAATACATCCAAAAAGATGGGACTAATGCCTATGAAGCAATTAGTTACTCATGATGGTAACCCGACCTAAATGACTGGAGATCCCAAGACTTAGGTTCAATGGGTAATAACAAGTTATGAGTAATATGAAAATGATCATGCAAGTAAAGCATGAATCCTGAAGTAATGAGAGGATGAGATAATAGAAACTCTTAATGAGATCTATACTCTGTATGAGGGAGTACCTAGGCTACAGGAGTACTCTTGATAGATTCACCTATGTGACTGTGGAACTAGGCCGGTTCCTATGGAATTTCGAGGCAGAATTCCTAGAGCATTCACTAAACCGGGATACACGTGCAGGGCCACTAAAGCACGGGCTACAAGAATACACCTTACGAAAAGGTTGTGTGCGGGTCTGATGTCCGAGATAGAGTTCAAGACAATGGTGTCACTCTTGTTGAATCAGAATCCTACTCGCTACGCTAAGGTTCAAGTCGTAGACACCTTTGCTTATGCTCAACCTGAGAAACGTCTGACGTACTTCTAAAATCTCTTTTAAATTCAAGTGGGGGAATGTTGGAACTTTAATTAATTAATGGTGGAACTTTAATTAATTATAGTGGGAATTGGAAACATTTGTTGACAATTAATGAGCAATAAATGAACGCAAGTGAGAACTAATATAGAAGTGAATTTGAAAAGATTCATTTTAGTCCCACATTGAAGGGAATGGAAATATTAGTAGTGTTTAGATGAATTATTTTTTGGACCTGAATTTATATAATTTAATTATCATTAATTAATTAATATAATTCGGTGGAAAATTAATTAATAATAAATATTAATTAATTAAGAAAATAATTGGTCAGTCAGTCCTCCACGAATTTCTCAGTCTCCCACCATTTTCTCCACTCCCCACGAATTTCTCAGTCTCCCACCATTTTCTCCACTCCCCACGAATTTCTCCCCACTCAGGTGCAGTTTGCTGCCTATAAATACAGGGTAGAAATTCAGAAGTGGGTACATCGGATTTCACAAATTCACACGAATTTTGATTTCCCTCTTCTCTTTCTCATTTCTCTTCATCTCAAAAACTCTCTTTTCTTGACTGGTTATTTTAATCAGATACTTTGAAAGGTGTATTTCTAGAGCGATTTATCAGTGTGCAACTGATAATCGTAAGTTGTTTGAACGGGCTGTTTTATCCTGGAGGCGTCGTCGTAAATTCGACTGCTTTGCATAATTTGGCAGTACGGCGAAACGTCTTAAAGAAAGCGACCTAGTACGCGACTCGTCCCGATAATTTCCTTGTGCCAAACGCTCAACAGAGTCTCATAACAATTTATGAGTATTATGTGGTTGAATCTCAAACAAACGAGCATGATATTAATAAGATATTAATAACACGAAGATGTAACCTTCCTAACATATATAAATAGTAAAAGCCATGAATATATGTCACACAATCAACTCCTAGACAAAGGAAGAACAAAATATTGAAAAACAATGATTATGTTACATAAGCTTGATGACTAAAGTAGGCTAGAGTGCCTATAAATAGAGGTGCAAACTGGCATGCCCGCCCTATTTAGGTTTATCTTGCAGAAGCGCAAAAAAAAAAGGTCGGATTAGAATAGTTGAAAGTGTGGATCTAAAATTTTTGATTGTCCCGCAAAAAGTAAGGGCAAGATAGGACGGGCTCACGTGCACTGTACTTTTTATGCCTAAAAATGAAAGATTTATATTTATATATATGCCCGCAAAAGGAAAAAAAACCAGAACAAACACATAAAATGCCGACAAGACAGGCCCAAAAAGACGTGATTCGTTTTTGTCACCCTTACCTATTTTATTGGCATGTGACCTGTCTAAGTAAGATATCACTTACACATATGTTTACACATATTTATGCTGATGTCACTTGGTATTTTTTTAAGTACTTTTTAATTGTCTAAGTAATCACTTAGACATATATTTACACATATTTAGGCTGATGTCACATGGTATTTATTATAATTTAAATATTTTATATATTATTATTGTGATTTGAATAATTAATCTAGTATTGATTATGCATAAATTATAGTTTATTTTGATTGTACACAACCTAGCAATCTCGCAGCATGTATAAAAAACTTTAGGAAATATCTTTCAAACCACACTCACGTACATAGTAGAGGAAATATTTTATTAACCGAAAGAAATGAAACAGCTCAGTTGCAATTACAAATATCGCATCTATAGTCAGGAAACCATATACTGCTTAACTATTAGCATTATTTAGGTCCAAAATAAACGATTCACTGTCGTGTATCTATAGCTTTCTCTTTTTACATACTAGTATATTGTAATTGGTGGAAGGTAGAAGATGAATCCCCAAAATGGAGAACCTTTTTGTACTGAAGCCACGGCTTAACCACCACGACGGAAGTGAACATTCTGTGAACACCATTATGATCAACGGCTGAAATATTAAGATAATACTTCATCCCTGACACCACTTGCTTCTCCGCCTCCACCACCTCCACCACCTCCACAAACTTCAACGCCTCACCGCCGCCGTTGTTTTGTTTGTAGTTGTACTTCTCTACCGCGAACTTCCCAAGCTTCTGCACTTCCATGTTTGTCCTCACGTCAGTAATCTCCGTCTTCGCTCCAACTATCACACGCCCACAGGAAACCGATGAGAGAATGCAGAGCAAGCTGGCTATAAGGATTGCAATATTGACAGCCATGATAAAATCACAAAAGGAATGATTAACTTGTGTGTAGGGTAGGGTGTATAAGAAGGAGAATGAATGAAAAGATATGATTTGGTGAATGTGTGATGAGATATATATAGTTGTGCAGATAAAACAAACAGCGGGCTGCCGCGTATAGTTTGATTGAATATGATCTGTGGGGGATGGGGGTGTTTTGGGGTTTTGTGTGGGAATTATTGAGTTATCACCTCGGGTTGTGGTGCTTTGGACTTTGGAGTATTGCTGCTTCTTTGCATGTCCACGCTTGATGCTGAATCGTTCATTTGCTATTGTTTTTGTTAGAGGATGACACGTGGAATTCATAAGCTTCACAGACTGCCACTTTGGGCTAATATGCATGCATATGGACGCGGGACTGCAATTTGCTACGTACATTTTAGGTTGAATAACAATAAAACTCAATAAATCTATGCAAGTAGTACAGCTGGTAAGCATTGCTTCCCGAAGCACCAATTTGGTTAGATTTGGAATGGAAAAAAAATATTTTTTTCTTCTTTTAACTCTATTTTGAAATACAGTCTAGTTCCTTAACTTTAAAAAGTGATTAGATGATCCTTTAACTTTTAAAATAGTGGCACAGTTGTTCTTCTGTCTGTTGTCGTTAGTCAAAGCTAGTAAACTGGTGTCACGTTTGTCCAAGTGACTTTTTTTGTTGTTGACGTGGATATAACATGTAATATAACAATTCAAGTGTATTGTTGCCTTTAATAACCCAGACACTTATACGGCGAAGACCTAATCTTGTTGCTGCGATAGTGAATTGAAGGGAGAAATTTCAGTGAAGACGTGACGGATTGAAGGCGCATAGGGTTGTTTCATCAAAGACGTGACAGATTGAAGACGATTCAAGACGTGTTTATCAAAAGGTTAGTAAATATCAATTTGTTTTAGAATTTACGAATGTGTTAGGGTAATATATGATTCTGTTCAGTTTTGGGGTTTATGTAAATGTTTTAGTGTAAACTCTAATTACTTAGGTAATATAAATATGTATAATGGATGAATACATAAATCTCAAAATTCATCATAGTGGTGAGTTCATCGACGAAGGACTTAGTGTATATGAAGATGGACTAGTAGATGATTTGAGAGTAGATGTCGACAAATGGAGTTATTTTGAGCTAGTTGGTGTATTGAAAGACTTGGGTTATAGGGAGTTTGAGACAATATATTACAAGGACCTTCAATTTGGGATGAATGCACTTGTTGATGACAAGGATGCTTTAAAAATTGCAGATTTTTGTAGGGTGCATCAAAGTGTTGATATTTACATTTAACACACCTTATCTTAACTTGACTATTATGATGTTGTTGTTGATAATTTGATGAGGGGCCTGCTGAAATTGTAGATGAGGTGGAAGAGTTACTTAGTAAACTGCATGATGAAGTTGTTGGAGTTGAACAAGCCACTGCTAGATTGAAGGAAGGTAATGTTGGAGTTGAACAAGTTGATCCTGCAGTAAAGGAATGTAATGTTGGAGTTGAGGAAGTTAATGTTGGAATTGAGGAAGTTAATGTTGGAGTTGAACAAGTTAAAATTGGTGTAATGAATGATGACTTAAGTTCTGATGATAGTGATGATGAAGACTACAATTATGATAGTGCTCTTGAAGTGGCTTTTGAGGATGAGTTTGATGTGTATCATGACATTGAGGAAGATGAACTAACCTAATTGGGTATGAAAGTGAGGGTAATGGAAAAGTAAAAAAAACATAAAGAAAAGTCTGTAGAAGATAAAGGGAGTGATAATGACAGTGAGGACATGCAAAGTGGATGTGATAGTGATGATAGTAGTGGAGTTCCATGAAAAAAGAACCCAGTTTTCAGGCAGCCAAAGGACATGTCAGATTACAAGTGGGATGTGGGAATGTTTTTTTAGTTTAAAGGGTGATTTTAAGGAAGAAATAAAACCCCATGATTTGCAAAATGGTAGAGACCTAAGGTTCGTAAAAAATGACAGTTAGGGTAAGAGTTAGATGTAAAGTTAGTTGTGAGTGGGAAGCTTATTGTAGCAAGTTGTCAAATGAAGACTTTTGGCAACTTAGGAAAGTAATTGACAAATATAGTTGTAGTAGAAAGTATAATATGAAGTTGATGAGTACAAAGTGGTTGAGAAAGAGAATTTAGAGTAGCTTGAAAAACAATCCAAGGATGACCATAAAGGATATCAAGGAGAAAGCACAAAAAAGTGAAATGTTGGGGTCAACAAAACCAAAGCAATAAGAGCAAGATTTGCAGCTAGAGACTATGTTGATGGTTCTTTTTTGGGAGATTACAAAAGAGTTTATGACTACTATATCATGAACTGTTAAGAGTTAATCCAGGGTCAACTGTTAAGATCAATATTGATCCTGTACAAGAAGGTATTGAGGATCACAAGCCATATTTTAGAAGGCTTTACATATGCTATGCTGCCTGTAAGGAAAGTTTTAGGTTGTGTAGACATGTAATAGGTCTTGATGGGTGCTTTCTAAAAGGGTTGTGTCGAGGGAAAATTCTGGCTGCCATAGGGAGGGATCCTAATGACCAGATGCTTCCCATAGCATTTACAGTCGTTTAAGGTGAAAAAAAGGATAAATGGACTTGGTTTTTAGAGCTTTTAATTGATGAGCTTGGAGGTAAAGATCAATACCTGACATACACATTCATCTCAAACCAACAAAAGGCAAGTAGTCAATTCTTGTTATGCTATTTTATTTTTCTATTTTGTAAACAAATCTGTTATGCTATTCTTTTTTTGTCTTGCAGGGTCTGGTAAGATGTTGAAGGACATAATACGGAAGAGGTTTTACGTTAGGCATCTCTAGAGAGTTGTTATAGATCTATAACAATTTTAGGAAGAGGTTTCCTGGTAAGATATTGAAGGACATAATACGGAAGGTTGTCAAGTCAACATACTCATAGGCATGGGAAAGAGAGTTGAAGGGAATGAGGGGCATCAATGAAGAAGCATTTAAACATATGATGAAGACCCCACCAAGGTTTTGGAGTAGATCATACTTTAAAGCCACAAAACAAATGTGATGTTGTTCTCAAGAACATGTCTGAGTCCTTTAATAGTGTCATTCTTGATGTAAGGGAAAAACCACTAATCACTATGTTAGAAGACATCAGAATATACATTATAGAGAGATGGGCAACTAACAGAATGGTATTTGGTACTTTAGATGACAATGATATATTGCCTAATATTAGTGTCATACCCTAACTTTTACCCTTAGATTCTTTGATCTTTTGCATATCATTTAAGTCAGTCATTCTTGCATAACTAACCAATTTATCACCCTTTGCTTTGTTTTGTTTCACTTGTGAATCAGGTTTCACTTTAAGAGACTTCAAGAGTAAGAATTAAGGTTTTGGATAGGAGGTTCTCTGTTGAGGTGGATTTCCATCGTTTGGAAGTTGTCTCTTTCGGTTATTTATACTCAAGTTTGAGGCAGAGGTGTCAGATTTTCAATCGTCGGGATATGGTGTTATTTCTCGTAGAGTTGATTCAAGGTTTCAATGTAGTTTTGGTATGATGGAGAATTCAAGATGCTGGAAATTGATTCTAGAGATGATTTTTTGTGCAAGTCAGGAGTGTCGCTCATTCAAGATGGTTTCAAGTAATTCATTTGTGGGCATTTCTCAAAATTTGAATAAAAAGTTTCAGGTCATTTCCAGATTAATTCTTAAGGATTTCAGAGATGTTTAAGAGTGGTGTCAAGTGGTTTTGCTTGGATTTAATTCAAAGCACTTTGGACGATTTAACTGATTTTGAACCATTTCATCAAGGTCCAAAAGCGAGGAAAATGATATCAAGTTGAAGTTTTAAGTTACCATTATCAACTTCAAGTTCCAAATCACCAACTCAAATTTGCAAGTTACAATCTCATTCATTTTTCTTTCCAAATTCCACTCATCTCACATCAATTCCAAATTCAAATTCAAATTCAATTCCCAAGTTTCAATTCACATTTCAAACTTCTTGGCATTTCAAGTTTCAATATTCAAATTCCACTCAATTGTCAATTCTAAATAAAGTTCAAATCAAGTTTTTCAAATTCCAAGTCTTGAAATTCAAGGTTGCAAGTTTCTTTCCAATTCAAAGGCTCAAAGTTCATGATTTTACAAAAGATACAATATTGCTAAAAATGGCTTATACAAAACCTAGCAAAGCAACAAAAAGAAAACCATGATACAATACAGAATGACAAGTCACAAATTAAAAAAAAACAACAACATTGCCAATCGTTCTATGTTGTCCCAAACACACTACAACAAAATTATTCACAAAAGCTAAGACCCTACATCATGCCAAACACCAAGTTGTACTATCTTCCTCCAAGACAAAAACCTGCACAAAGTTCTATAAAATCTGCAATATGGAAACTTGCATCAAACCACACCAAGTCAAAACCAGGTGCAACATCACTCCAAAACAAATTCTTGCGCATAACAACCATAAATCGTACAATGTAGCCTTGACCAAGCTAGTACACTATACCGCATACACAAAAACAATGATAAGATAAAAGCTCACTGCTCCAATGCTGAAATGCAGCATTTGCACCAAAACCTGCAACAACAAGGACAAATCATAACGGGACAAACTAGTTGCAACAAAAATGTTTGCTATCACCACAAGTTTCAAAATAAATCTACTGTTAAAGCAACCATACATCAGAATCCATAAAATTAAAAAAAAAAACAAATTTTGTTTTAGAGTTGAATAGAAGAGGAAAGAGTAGAAAGAAAAAAAAATGGGGGGGGGGGGGGGATGAAGGATTGAAAACAGAGATAGAGAGCACATAGTGAAATAACCAAAAATATTGATCCACACAATTTTCCTAACCTTAATCAAAAAACTCAGATTCGCAAAAAAGGTCTTTGAGTCTTGCACTAAGACTCGAGAATCATTTGAACTAAAATCTTTCAGAAGAATTAATTGTACAAGGAATTTAAAGATGAAGCAGGAGGAGGGAGTTAAAGCG